AGCCTCTCCGAGAGGCGCGGGCCGAGGGCGGAGGGGCGGTTCCCGCACCTGCGGGGTGAACACGTGACCGCCCGGAAGCGCGTCACCTGCTCGCAGCCCCGCCCGGCTGAAGACCCAGATTTCCAGCCTCACGTCCCGGCCGTGCGGCCGCCGGTGCCGGCCGTTCGTACCTGTCCAGGAAAGCGTGCGGGGGTGGAGGGTTGCCCTTCTGTTCTCAATAAGCCGGACACTGGGCATTTCCAAAAGTTTTAATCAGGTGATGACCACGGGGGCAAGACCGCTCTGGAGGGTTGCTTCAGAAATGCTTCGCTGATACCCTTAGGCGTCACACCCTCTGACCGCTGGTACTCCCTAAGGCCTGCTGGCTCCTGAGAAACCAGGTCTCATCAGACCTGTTAGGGATAAAATAAATGTAATCAAACAATAGTCAAGCATACGACTTATGGTTAACTTCTTCGTACATTTTTATCTTTTCAAAAATCCTTTTGTGTACAGTACCATTGCGTATTTGCTAAATTCCCGAAGAAGTTTACTGGGAGTATCTACTGACTAAAAGATGTTGGAATATGAACATATATTCACCTATACAAGTAGCCTTTCAATTGTCGAATTTTTAATTATTTTAAAGCATCAGTAATATGAGCATATTACTTAAGTTGCTGCCCAATGAATATTTATGATTGGATTTCTTCTAGATGGATCTACCTTAAGGCTCTGGTATCTTGAGAATTAAACCACTGACTACATGTTATCCCCTGACCAAGGATCCTGCTTCTGCCTGTTCAAGGCACTTGCTGGGGGCCCAGAGCGCAGGCCTTCCTTCTGCTTGTCCACGTTTGGAGAATTGTTTGGCCTCTCTAAGCTAAACATGGGGATAATTAGCCCAGGATTCAGGTAAGCAGACCTAACAAACTATCCCAAACAGGAACCAGTTCTGCTTCCTTTCTCTGCCTTTTGAATGCTGGAATGCCAAATTCTCAGGATTCTCAGGACTGAATGCTGCACAAGACCCGTTCTAATGGTTTCACTGTTTTGTTTGCTAGGATTATCATCTGTGCAGATAACTTTGCATTTGCATCACTAATAGACTTCTTTCAAAGGGAAAAGACATTTCAGTAGGGCTGGGACAGTCTTTAAAGTTTTGTTTGTTCCATTTTGGCAGGACCAAGCTAGTCCACTTGAAAAGAGATGGACTTTCACGTAAGGGTCTGATTTACCATATGGGTTTCAACATAAATCAAAGGGTTTGTACAATTAACTCCTCACAAAGAATAAATATTTTGTTCTTTGTAATATTTATATGCAGCCAAATCCGATGTTTTTTTTAAATTCTATTCTAACACTCACTTTGCTAGAAGTAATACTAATGGTCACACTTTCTTTGAATCAGAGAAATAGCTTCCCTCTTCTATGATTAGAAGCATCCTTAGAAATTATCTAATCTTTTCAAATAAAAAACTACTTCTACAGCATCTCTCTTGGATTTACCCCTGTTTGAATACAGCAGATCCATCGATTCGCTCAGTGTAGTTTTGTTATGACATTGATGAGATGCCATAGGAACTTTTGTTTACAGCCATTAGCCTGTGGTAAAATTGGTTTCATTGTATGTATGTCGTTTCACCACAATTCTGAAACCTATGGACACATTAAGTGCCTAAGGACTTACCGTATCTTCGGTGAAAGGAAACTCACTGACGCAGTCCCCCTTTCCAAAGCAATTTGTCTCATGAGATAGTGCTAGTGAATGATCATTATAATAATAGAAAAATAGTGATATCTAACATACCAAGTGCTTACAAGGTTCCAGGAACTGAGTCAACTACTTTCCACATATTATCTCATTTAATTCTCATAACAACTTGATGATTTAAGTATTATTATCTGCATTTTTTCAGATTGAGGTGCTCAAGGTAAAACAGCAGACTGGAATTTGAACAGAGGTTGTGTGACACGAAAGCCAGACTCCTAGCCTAGTCTGTACTCTGCTTTGCAGTATATACTTTTTAACATTTCTCTTATGCTAAGTGGTATAGAATACAGAGAAGAAAAGCCATGGCCCTGGCCCTCAAGGAGTTTGCAGTCTCACAAAACTGTGAGAAGCCCAGAGGAGGGACATTAATATAGACAGGAAGGTATAGAAATGATACTAAAGCTAAATTTTGAAGAATGCATTGGAATTAGCCAGACAAATGAGGAGGAGGTGCTATACCCCAGGCTGGTCACTTACCCGCAGCCCCTTAAAACACCCACCTATGTAAGCATCGCGCAGGAGGGAGCACATAAAGGCTAAAATGGGCAGGAATAAATTAGTTGCCAACATTTTCAAACCACTCTTCAATAAGCCTCTCTCTCAGAGGTCTGTGGCTTAGGGACTCCTTGGTCTCCGTACCAGCTCTCCATTTCATAGCCACCATTCGTATTCAGCATAACCGCCGCTCACTTCAGTACATCATGAGCTCTGGGAAAGAAATACGGAGCAAGCCCTAGCTCAGAAGAGACAACCACTAGGGCATCCACCAGGGGAAGAGAGAGAATCAGGCACAGACATGTATGTGAAACAATATGGCAGAGGGTTCCAGGAGGTTATATAGCCTAGCCTAGCACAGCTCTGGGTCAGGCTACCTGGATTTAGATCTTGTCTCTGTCACCTTACAGAATGACCTCAGGAAATTATTTCAAACTGTCATAAAGAGTCAAAAAGAAAGTACATGTAAAAGACAGTAGTGCCTGGCACCACAGTAAACGAACAAAGTATTAATTACTATTATTTTTAATATTTTAGAATGTTTTAAAGGGCGGGTGGGGATGGAGATATGGTTTAGGAAGCAAATGCAATAACATATATAAGAAACCCTGAATTAAGGCTGGAGATGCTGAGGAAGGAGAGAAGTGAAAAGATTGCAGGAGGTAATTGGAAGATGGGATTAACAGGTTTGAGGAAGCAGGCAGAGACTTGGGTGACTTGCAGGCTTCTGGCTTACATAATTGGGAGGATCCCCCAAAGGTGGTAACATTTGCCATCATAAAAGGAACTGGGGTTTTTTGGGGGATGGTTTTAGCGCTGGATCAAAGTCGATGATTCTCTTTGTACCTGTTAAGTTTGATGTGTGGAAATGTGAAATTAATGATAAATATGTAGGGTTGACACTCGGAAAAGATTTCAGGGCTAATATCAACATTTTATGAGCCATAGTTCAGAAATATTTTTCGAGCATCTATCATGTGCCAAACTATATTAGGTTCTGGTGATACAATAGGGCATGGTCCCTGAACTCAAGGGTACAGATAATTCCTTTACAGTGAGATAAATACTGGGATGCAGGGAAGCAGAGCCAGGAGATATTAAATGCTTCTTGCTAATTGGCTCTTTTTTAAACCAATACATATTTTTTAATTTTCTTTAAACTAATATTCTTAAAAGCATGTACTCAATATTTATTTACAGGTGAGATGGAGCTCTGCATGGGGAGTGGGTGGAGATGAAAGTCCTGGGGCATCAGCTCTCAGTTTCCTCTGTGTTATTCTGAGCAATTCACCTCTGCTCCCAGATTTGCATACCTCCTAGTACAGTGTTTCTCAATGGAGGTTCTATTAGCATTTTGGGACTATCCCCATGCATTATAACTTCCCTGCCCCACCCCCACCCCCACCCAGACGACTCCCAGCCATACTGGCATCAACAACAAAAATGGCCGCACATATTTCCAAATGCTTGGGGTGGGGCTGGGGGTGGGGGACCTGATTGAGGATGTTTGCCTGTTGTATCCCTTGGGAGAACTATGACCCACATGTAACTATTTACCATAGTATTCCTTTCTATCTCATGTGGTATATATATCAAGAGAAGTTCTGATATGTAAAACATTGTTCCTTTTATTACATTTTTAATATTTAGCACCGTCATGTTTAACCACCCTCTGTAGATTCTACTTGCCCTTTATCAGGAGTTGCTGGGATCACATAGGAGGGCACTGAATCTAGTCTTAGCAGGTTATAGAAATCTTCACAGAGGAAGGGACCTCTAAGCTGAGAATGAAAAGACAATAGAGAATTAGCCAGGCAAGAAGGCATACTGCATACTATGGGTATAAATGTTACATTCGAAGAAATGAAAGGTGCTGTGTTTGGGGTGAATAACAGATGAGGCTAGAGTGGTAAACAGGGACCAGTCCATGAAGGGGCATGTAAATCATGTTAAATAATTTAAATTTCTTGAGAACTAAAGGGAGCTGTTGATGGGTTTTCAGCACAGGAGTAGTGTGATCTTTGCTCCTTAGGAATGTCCAATTACCTGCAGCATGCAGAATGAATTGGAGACTGATGGCAAGAAAGGAGATGAGATGGGAGAATAGTTAGCAGACCTTGCAATGGTCCAGGTGAGAGAAAATGATGGCCTGAATTCACATATAGAGTTGGCAGCAACATTCAGTAATGGCAGTACTTGAACCTGTAGGTTGAGATGAATTCTCATAGGGAAGGAGAACAGGCAGAAAATGGTTTCCTACAGAACCCCAACATTTAGCGTATGAGCAAAGGCAGAGCATCCAGCAAAAGAGGCTAGGAAGGTGGCACCCAATATGGTATGTGGAAAGGAAATGGTGTGGCTGCCATAGGAGCATACCACTCAGGACTCCCTTCAAGGAAGCACCTGCTCTGAAGAGTGTAATTAACTGAAAACCTCCAGCCACCATGCCTTTGGGATTCATCACAGCATTCTTGCAGAGGTCTCCATCTCCCCAAAGGCTCCTAGCCAGTGACTGAGCACTGTCAGCCATTCTTAATGCAATTCCCTCTAATGGGCAGTCTTTGCTCTGGGCTCCCCATTGGCCTGACTGAGCCTTTCTCAGAGCTGCCCTGCAGAAGGTGAGATCTTGCAAAGATGAGTTAGACAAGAACCTAGAACCTTATACAGAGAGACAAGAACCTCCTATCTTCTAGAGAAGCCAGGATTTCAAGGGGGGCTCTTTGACCTGCACTATAGGTACCTGATATCCTTTTAGACACAATCCTTGAGCATACAAGCTATGTGAAAAAATGCACAACAAAATATTGACGAATTGTAAGGAAATGCAGGCTGGGGAAGAGATAGACTGAGTGATGCTGTTGTAATATTTTTAATGAAACTCTGATTGTATTTATCTGTCACCCCAAGATAGATTAGAGCATAGTATTTCCCTGGTTCCCTTTTATATAACATACAGCCTAAAATTCTCCTTAGATGCCCTCAATTAAAGGGTATTGCCCTGTACCTTAGTTCCAAGTCCAGAGTGTCGCCACTGCTGAGCCAGACCGACTTGGTCCAGAACAAATATAGTTAATACACTGTTTCCAGTGTAGATGACTGCCCAGAGTGTAATTACTGGCCTTTTATTTAGAAGCTTTATTCTAGTCACTCTTACTCCCTTAGGAGGACTCCAACCCCCATTCCCAACAAAACCTGTACTAAAGCAACTAACCCATAGATCTAGAATGTTTATCTCTTTGGTGGGGGGGAAAATCCACTAATTCAGTTTAAACCTGGATTGGAGTTTTTCTTGGTCAAAGCACACCAAAAAACCCCACAGAAGCTCAGTTGAGTAATTCAAGTAATGTTCCAGGAGTTTTTTGTTACCCTTTACCCTCTGCTCACAGCTCAAGGTGGATGTGAAAGTAACTCATTTCTCAGACTGACCCAGATCTCTGCCCAGGAAGCAGATCCATTTGCTGGGTCCGAACTCAGGGCAAAACCTATCTGGATCAAGGCATGTCTCTCTTTTTTTAAAATATATATATATCTTTATTGATTTCAGAGAGAGGAAAGGAGAGGGAGAGAGAGATAGAAACATCAATGATGAGAGAGTCATTGATCGGCTGCAGCCCGCAACCCAGGCATGTGCCTTGGCTGGGAATCG